CTGACACAGCTGTTCTCATATCATCTTTGTATTATTTAATAAACAAGAGTATTTCTGTCATTAGCATATGTTGGTGTATCCAACATGATTTGTTGATCTGGGAAGACTCACATGACGCTCAGATTTAATTTTTCAAAACTATTCTTTGGTGGTTTCAATTATACTTTATTTTTGTGAGTGGGATAGTAGTAGAAACATTAAATGAGAACACAATTAGATAAAATGATACTTTATATAACATTATCACAATTTGGGAGTATATTTATATGCATATATATCATTTATCTGTCTATCCATCATTTACACACAGGTACACAATGAATATGAGGTCACAGAGAAAAATGACAACATTGGGACTTCACTGAGGTAGGATTACCGAGCTTTTACCTTCCTCTTCTTCATAATTTCATAGTCTCTAAATTTCCTATAATGAGTACACACTGCTTTTATAATCAGAAAAAAACTATATATAAAATATATATAGTTCAGGCACAGTGGCTCACCCCTGTAATCCCAGCACTTTGGAAGGTGGAGGTGAGTGGATCACATGAGGCCAGGAGTTCAAGACCAGCCTGGCCAACATGGTGAAACCCCCTCTCTAGGAAAAATACAAAAATTAGCCAAGCGTGGTGGTGGGTGCCTATAATCCCAGCTACTCAGGAGACTGAGTCAGGAGAATTTCTTGAACCCAGGAGGCAGAAGTTGCAGTGAGCTGAGATCATGCCACTGCACTCCAGCCTGGGCAACAGAGAGAAACTCAGTCTCAATAAATAAATAAATAAAACTCTCTCTCTCTCTCTCCCTCTCTCTCTCTCTTTCTCTCTCTCTGTGTGTGTGTGTGTATATAGATAGATAGATAGATAGATAGATAGATAGATAGATAGATTATATATAGACATAATTTTAGAATGTATTAGTTTCAGTTTCCTGCAGGAATCAGAATGGTAGTATACAACAAACCAACTTATAGTCTTATTTCTATGACCCATATGCATGAAAAACAAAATTAAATGCATACATAAAAAAGCAGTTTTATGTTGTTAGAATTGTTTCAACAAATTTAGTGAGGAATTGTAGAGACATATGAATATTTCTGTGATTGTGAGTGACAACCTTTTCATTAAATATCTATCAATAGTAAAAATCAAAGTCACATTTTATAATTATAACACATTAAATCTTTGGGGTTGATATGTCTGATAATGTAAAATTTTTTTTTAAAATACTTACTTTGGAGGAATTGTTACAACATTCCCTTTCTGGGAGAGGGAAAAGTCAGCAGCATCTTGTCCAACAATTCTAGCATTATACACTAAGTTTTGAGAGCTTGGATTTGTCAGTAGAATCTATGTAGACATAGAAGAGGATAAAAGCAAGATTATAAAATTAAAAATTATGCAACTATAACATTTCTTATTTTTATCAAAGACAGCAATACATTTTAGTCATATAGTTACTCCTAATCTGAAACAACTGGAAAAAGCCCAGAATTTATTTGTATTTTAAAATAACAACTACACACACACACACACACACACACACACACACACACACACACACAGAGTTTAGCTGAAGTGGGCAGAGAGGAGCTTTCAACAAAGGGAATTACAAATGCAAAGGCATCTTATCATCAGTAACTTGAAGACCAAAATTTGCAGCTTGGATTTTATATTTATTGCAAAGGAAAACCATTGGGAAATTTTAAAAAGGGAACTTATATATCCAATTTACAGAAATGGTACTCTGGCTGCTCAGTGCAGAAAGTATTATAAGGAGTATAGATTTAAAAACAGTTTCAGGCCGAATATAATGGTGGCCTAGTCTAGATGTGGTAGTTCAACGAATGGTTGGCTGTCTCTTTCCTCCTTATCCAGACACATGGGGAGCATTAAAAAATGAGTTGCTTTATTACAAAAGAGTACTTCTTGAAAATGTTAGTACACAAAGTGTTTATGTAAAATATAATGGAGATTCAAAAAACAATCTTTAGGAAAACTGGCAAAGATTTTCTTCTCAACCACATTCTAGTAAGGTTTGTCTGAGCTATTTTTTAACTACCACCTTTGGACATGCCCTCAAGAGCCCAATTTTAGTAAGAATCCTGCTAAATCAGTTTAGCCAGAATTCCGCACCTTCAGTATCCAATCACCCTTGATATCTAACGAAATTCCTCATCTCCTGCCATTGCTCAGGTGATGTATGATCACCCTGGCCTTCCTTTAGCAAAAATCTTATTTTGGTTTAGCCAGAATCCCCCCTTACCCATATGTTTCCTCTTAGTTATTTCCCACCCACTGACCTCCATTCTGCTCCTTGGCTATAAATTCCTACTTTTCCTCATTTTACTTCAAGTTGAGCTCAATCTCTCTCCTCTACTGCAAAACTGCTTTGCAGTGGTCCCTATACCTATCATAATAGTCCTGAATAAAGTCTGCCTTACCGTTTTAACAAGTGTCATGAATATTTTTTTTCTTTAATAAGATGCCAAAGTATCACCAAAAGTTCTGACCCAGAGAATGGTGAAGATGGAGAAAAGGATAATTGGTCAAATTAGAGTGAATAAAAGGTGACTACAAATCATGAAGTTCAAGACCTATAGTGACAGATATTTTAAGAGTGAAAAAGTAGCAGTAGGTATGGTTATGGTGAGTCATAAGGAATATGGTGAAAATCTGGTAAAAAATAATTACTTTCCTAGTTCAATGGGAACTTTCGTAACCAATAGAATAAGTATGTTGTTGCTAAAGAGTTGCCAACATTAGTTTCTTTAAGGATTCGGAGGCCTCATGTTCTCAAATACTTAAAGATATCAATTATGGGGGCAAGACCCCCACTGTAGTGTGGTATTCCACTATAGCGTGGTAATCTTTTTGTATGTTTATACATACATACGAATGTATCTCTTTCAAATAATCATTAACAGACCAAGCGATTTTAAATCCTAGAGAGCTAATTCCTACTGTTTTGGAAGGAAATGTTGAAAATTATAGATTTGTTGTGAACTCTTTAGATCATAAGGAAACCATTCATTCTCAGGATATCACACATATCATACATATGACACAATGGTATTGAACTCATCTGTGGTCAGATAGTCATACCACCCAACTCCAGGATTTCATGTAGGGGAGATGAGGAGATGAGGAAGAAGAGATAGCTGCTTAAGAGAACAATAGAAAGTTTTAAAGTCTCCATTCCATTTTTGCAATGACAGACATTATTGTACCTCTGTGTAAATTTTGTTCCAAAAAGAGTAACGAAATTCAACTGCTTTTGAATGTCTCAGAAAATCACTGTACTCTATCTTTTTTCATTGACCACTACTTTATTGTACTGGTTCTGGCATTCTATGTTTCTATTATTTGCCCATAGGTATAGAAATATTTTTTCAATTCTAGTAGCCATTTCTGGAGATTTTTCTATATTCTGTAACATTGATAGGGTTGGTAAGAATGACTTTCTATGACTTAGGTACTGCTATTCATGGTGTTGATTCACAGGAGCAAAATACGTAAAAGATTATTAGCAATTTCCAAAGCATTAATTTTCTTAAAAGTTAAAATCAAAGCTTGTTATAATTTATCTTGCATATATATATACATATTATTTCTTCTTTCAAAAATTTTTCTTACATTGTGAAAAATGATAGGTATATTTGTATAAGTTTATCTATAATCTTAGGCATGAACATTGTATCTAGTAAAGGAATAAAATGAGAAAATAAATCATGTTCTATACAAACATGATTTAATTTGGTTTTTAACATCATAATTTAAATTTATTTTTAAACATTAGCTAGTATTAACTACTTAAAAACACTGATAACAATTGAGATGAAGGAATACAATCATGTGGACAGAATGCAAGAACTGGTAATAATAGTTAACAGTAATAAATAATACTTAATCAAATTTATACTTCTGTCTCTTGCAGTCCTAAGCAAAAAAAGTTTAACTCTTCTGAAATGTTATTTTGAAGTCAAAAATTCAATATAATTATAGCTCAAGGCCAGTTATTTTTCAAAAGCCCTTGAATAGCATTGCAATTAGCAAATTATCAGTAAATACTGAATTCTATGGAGTTTTATATCTTTTTCTAACAAAAAAGAATCAAAATAAATGAAAGAGATTGAATCTCAGTATTTATTAACACAAACCTAGAAGAGGAGGCTCTCTTTTCACTAGATGCAGCCCCCTACACTTTGAGATAAGAGCCTGAGGTTTCTTTTTTTTTTTAAACTAAATCCTTATCAACTGATGCTCAAACCATCACGTAGGCTACACAGTTACTTTCTCAAAGGAGTTACAATTACAGATCAAAGATCATCATGGACTATCTTTTGAAGACCACATACGGCTAAGTTTTGCATCAAAAATATAAAATTATCCTCCTTCCCAGTTATATATGAAGAGAGACACTCAAAACAGCCTGAGAAAAGGAATAAACATGAATCTTATCAAAGCAGTAAATTAACTTGTATACAGAATAATATTATTTTATATCAAACCAAAATGAGTAAAAAAAGAGTCATCATTTTATTCCAAGTGGTGATTACTATTAAGCAAAAGTTGCCCCTTTCACTCATCTAGACATTTGGCTTAGAAGCAGCAACATTTGATAAACCTTATTCACTTTTAACACAATTATGTCATATAGATGCTTGCTGTTAATTTTGGGTTGGAAAAGAAATATCTAAAACCTCTTTTAATTGTGTAACTCCTTGTTCATTTTGGCCCCAAAATTATCCTTACCTCATTCAGCACTGTGTCATGTAGAGTACATTCAAAGAGTACCACCTTCCTAGGGAGGTATGTAGGGAGTCTCTCATACATGTAGACACAAAGCATCAGCATTAGGATTGGATTTGGGTCACAGATGTCTATGGCCTAGTTTCAAAGAAGATAAATTGAAATTAGAGGATATATTAGTTAGAGCTCTGCATAGGTACAGAATCAATAGGATATATATCTCTATATACACACACAGATATATATATATATATATATATGAAAGGGAATTTATTAGGAAGAATTGGCTCAACAATCACAAAGGTGAAGTCCCACAGTAGGCTGGCTACAAACTACAGAATGACAGAAGCCAATAGGGTCTCCCAAGGAAGCCAGAAGCATGGCTTAGGCCAAGTCCAAAAGCCCCCAAACCAGGGAAGCTACAGTGCAGGCCCCATTCTGAAGCTGAAGGCCTGAAAACCCAAAGGAGGCTGCTGGGTGCAAGTACTAGAGTCCAAAGGTTGAAAAACCTGGAATCAGATGTCCAAGGGCAGAAGGAGAAAAAAAGGCATCCTGCTCCCAAAGGGAGAAAGAGACCATGACAAAAATAAAAAAGAGCAAACAAACAAAGAAAATAAGCAAACTGAATATCCTCATTCTCCTGCCTCTTTGTTCTGGCCACTACCACAGCCAATTGCATGGTACCAACCCACATTAAGGGAATATCTTTCTTTCTCAGTCCTGCATCCACTGACTCCTGCATCCACCTCCTCTGGAAACACCCTCACAGACATACCTAGAAACCAAACTTTGCCAGACATCTTGGCATCCTTCAGTCAAGCTGACACCTAATATTAACCATCAAGAAAGATAAACAGATAAAAATATAAAAAGAGGAAAAGCATAGTAAATCAATTACTGAATTACTTTAAAACATTTAAAATATTTGTGATTGATAATGACACTGAACTATAGATATAGCAAATAATACTGCTTTGAATCAGAAGAGCTTGACCTGAGTGTTAAAAAATAAATGTGTCCTAAGTAGAACACTGATCTTGTACCCTCAGACTCCATAAAAGCTAATCGGAACTCAGGAGAATACTACACTCTAGAAATTATGACTAATGTGACTATTACTCCTGAAGTTAAGCAAGAGATTTTCAAGCAAAGGCCCACAGAACCAATGGCACATTAAATGGGCCTCATAGAATGCTTAGACTTCAAATATGTTCTGTTTGATGTGAGGAAAAGGGTGTATTTTTTCAGAAAACCAAATCACTATAGGATGAGGAGATAGAGAAGCATAGTGTTGTTCAGGAAAGAAGTTCCATTTGGGTCATGCATAAGAAAAGATAGAAAAATTAGTGAGAGAAAAGACTTAAAGAGTGCCAGGCTACACCGTGGAGGTCTTAGATGGAAAGGTGAGGGACTTGATTTCTGAAGAAGAAATAACATGATATCAGTTCAGGCAGATCAGGTAGGGGGCAGTTTAAAAAGTACTTTTCCCAGAACAGATAAATAATAAGGCAGAGGATGTAATTACTGTGATAAACAAAATACATTAGTAATGATTACTGGAGTGGATTCGAGATAAAATCCAAAATTACAGCGGAATGGCATCAGGATGATAAACGTTGACAGAATGTATGCTGGAGCCAAAAAGTAGAGTCAGGAACAGAAGAAGGTAAAAGCAGTGAGGAGAGTTATTCACAGCACAAAGTACTGGGGTTGGTGTGAGGGATTCAAAGACACACAAAACACCAACAATAGGCAAACAACTCTGTCATTGTCAACATAAAAAGAGCTCTCTTGTTAGATAAAGTGAACTCCAAGTTTCACTTCAAAGAATCAGTATGTCAGTATGTTCAACTCTCTTACTCTTTCATTCTCCATTTCAAAGTTTAACTTCCTTGTAGTTTCAGTAAACAACCTTTTCCACCAGTTCTAATCAATAGTTCATAACTGTTTCCCCAGTCCCCTACTCCATCCTGACTCATCCCGGTCACCTGCCCTGGTCATCTGCTTTGACCTGAGTCACCCCTGATCACCTGCTCTGACCTGTCCCATAACTGTCCTTTCCACCAAACTACCCACCCTGCCACTCCAGCTCATACCCCTGATCTCTTTAAAATAGCCAGTCGAAATTAGTTTAGACTCTACAGTCTAACCCTAGCCAATAGAGGAATGACACAGCAGCAGGGGCTACCTACGTCAGGAATAAGGACCCTTTCCCCTTACTTGTCCAGGAGTGTACTTGCCATTGCTCCATCTGTGAGATGCACCCTTCTATAGAAGTAAATTACCTTGTTGAGGAAATTTATAGTCAAGTACTACTTCTTTTGCACCACTGAAAATTTACATGCAACACTCTGTACTTCCGCAATATGGAAATGAAGGTCTGCTATGACTTAATGGTACATATTTAAGTTAGCAACTACACATGATCTGGGCCTGGCCTCAAAATGCAAATAGTGTGAAAGCTAAGGAGACCCAGTGTGATATGTGGAACTAATGCACTTGAGTCTGAAATTGGGCAGCAGTTTTTAGAGAATAATGAAAGCCCCACCGGTAACTTAGTCCACATTTCCTGATGCTCGCTTATTCTTCTTGGGAAAATAGAACGGTTTGTTCTTTCTTGTTTTGTTAATTAGAAGTAAGGCTTACTAATGAAGGTGCCTGAGCAGAAGATTGACAGCAGAAAGAAACTGGCCTGCCTTAACAGGGTAGAAAGCTAACTGTGAATATAATTTGAGAAAAACTTGAAAATATACCAGGACCATAAAGTTTCTCATCAGCATTTTATGGTCTCACATTCTTTAACAAAGACAACATTAGTCAATAGATTTAGAAAATTGATTTAACATAAGAACAATGTAAAAAACAAAATGCAGGGCCGGGTACCATGGCTCATGCCTGTAATCCCAGCACTTTGGGAGGCTGAGGCAGGCAGATCACCTTAGGTCAGGAGTTCAAGACCAGCCTGGCCAACATGGTGAAATCCTGTCTTTACTAAAATACGAAAAATAGCCAGACATGATGGTAGGTGCCTGTAATCCCAGCTACTCGGCAGGTTGAGGCAGGAGAATTGCTTGAACCCAGGAGACGGTGGTTGCAGTGAGCTGAGATCGTACCACTGCACTCCACCATCCTGGGTGGCTGAGTGAGACTCTGTCTCAAAAAACAAATGCAAGATTTAATTGTCACTTTCACTTTTGACGTATAAGAAGGTAAATTTTTTTTTTTTGAGACGGAGTTTCGCCCTTGTTACCCAGGCTGGAGTGCAATGGCACGATCTC